TATATCGCGATGATGCATCGTTAACGAGGTTTAATAACACATGGGGAAGTTGGATGGTGTTCCCCCTCGGTTGCGGAACAACGCGGAACTGCGTTCGCTCGCCGGAGTTATCCCGATTCTGCGGTTTTCGAGGTGGATCGTACCCCGAAAGCAAAAAGTTTCCGCGGTCGACTACTCGGAGAGTGCCGGAGTGAAAGGTACCTCCCATTTTTTCCCCTCTTTCCGATCAAACTAATCTCTTTTGCCAGCGCTAATGTCCCTTCGGCTCGGCGGTACTCGACTTTGCGGTGCTCGGCGGTGCTCGACTCTATTCGGCTCGGCGGTGTACGACTCGGCTCGCTCGACTCGGCGGTGCTCGACTCTACTCGGCTCGGCTCACTTGGCTCGCTCGACTCCACTCGGCTCGCTCGGCTCGTCTCGGCTCCTGCGTTCGAGTCGCATCGCGTCTCCTCTTCTATAGCGTTTTCCCTTGGACCGAGAGACCATCGCCGGGAACGACATCGCGAACGATTTCAGCTCTTCGACCAGGCTACAGGACCGAACTTCCTTTCCAGAGAAATAACCTCGAGCACCGGCTGCGATACACGCGACCTCTCACATTTATCACCTGCTCACTTTTCCATCAGATTTCTATTTACGAGTATACTCGCTAAATTATACCCTTTCTTCCGCGCGTGCCGCGGCCAGCGGACTCTCTACGGAGTTTACTTCTACGGCATTTATGACAACGTAGGTGAAATGTCGGACAGTGTCGGACAAAATCGGAAGAGCTTGACGCTCTCTGGAACCAGTCAAACGACTGGTTTCTGAGATTTTCTTTCACCGTTTCCTCGATATTATAAAAATATCGCTGGGAGAAATTTTTAGCTACACTTCTCTGTCGAAGTGTACAGTAAATATACGCAAAGAAATGCGCAGCTTAAACGAATCCGGTTTCGGCGCTGTATAAAATAAAAATGTGTCCAACAATTTCCGGGAAAACTAGCTTCGCGACGCGATTAATTGGCGAACGAGATATCAGCAAATTGCTCGCGATCGTTTCGTTGTTAATATTTTCGTTATAACTCGATCCACGCGAATCCGACGAATTATAATTATAATTAATATATATAACATAATACATATAACGAATTATAATTCGCGAAACAATATTTTCCTGGGAAGCGTACAAAATAATCGTTAAATCGGGGAGCAATAAAATTCAGCAGATAAATATTCGCAGACTCGCGTCGCTGTCTAAAGAGAGCGCGCACGATTCGATTAAATCGAATAAATTGTTATCTCGATCGAAGCTTTCACCGTGCGAGAAAGAATATAAATCTCCCGTTGAATTCTTTTAAAAGGCCTCTTATATCACTTGCTTCGCCGTTCTAATTTCTGCGTATCACGAGAACGTGCACGATTTTAATCTAATTAAGTCGAGTCGATTCTCTCTCCGGTTACCGGGATAAAACCGACGTCGTTCGAACGTTCGCTCGACCGTTATCGTCGAAATCTGGGGGGGGGGGGCGGAGGAGGGGATAAACTATTCGCGATGCGCGATATCCGCGAAACGCGCGAATTCCCTTCTTCTCGAATAATTAAAAAGAAAATTATAATCCGACGGCGATCACGACCAACGAAATCACGGCGGTGAACGACGTGTGGCGGGGGTCGTTGACCTACATTCGTTTCTAATATAAAAGCGATAAGTGAAAGCCTAGAATTTTCCTCGTATTTTCTGGTAAATCGCGAGCCGTCCAACTAGATCGTGAGACATTTCTTGCCGGCGGTGTGACCGGTATTTATAAAGCGCAATTAAAAGGCAATTAGCGCTTCGAAATCGTCCATTCTATTTTGAGATTTTATTGATTCCACTCGCAGCCTCGTGCAACGAACACACTTATTATTTGCGCGCATATTTTGCGAGTCTCGAGTCGCGATTTAATCCTCGTTACGGTATTTTTTAATGTATATGTAATCATATTTTATCGGTTTCAGAGCCTTCGTACGTGTATAATTTTTCTTTCGTTATACGGTGCGCCCATATAATAATATATAATAAAATATTATAATATTATTAACATTATAATTATAATAAAAGTAAACCGCAACACGAATAATCGTGTCTCCTCTTCCCAAATTGTCCATTTTTGTGCGCAATCTGGGCGTCAATTAGAGAGGCATATTACTGTATTTATCCGTGAATCTGAAACAAGCAGCGGAGCGGTAAAAACTGCGCTTATCGTCGATCTCGAAGTTGATCTGGAAGATGCGATCGGCAAACCTGCATTAAAATATTGTGTCACGGTAAAACGGACAATTAAATTATTTCATCTACGAAAGTACGTTGTTTAACGAACCTATCGGGTGACGCAAGACCACGATGTATTTCTGCACAAAGTGTTGTCAATGTTATATTATCATATTATATTATTATACAGGGTGTCCCAAAAATGTCTCGCAATACAGAAACGGCGGATTCCTCGGATCATTTGAAGCAGCTTCTTCCTTTACAAAAATGTTCTCCGACGCACCGTTAACGAGTTATCGACAAAAAAGCAGTGACCAATAAGAATCGAGGACGGCCGACGCGAGGCGGCCTAGCCGACCAGCGCGCGAAGCCCGGTTCCGCTCATTGGCTCGGTCGCCTCGCGCCAGCCGAGCTCGCCTCTCATTGGTCACTGTTTTTCGTTGATAACTCGTTAACGGTGCCTCGGAGAACATTTTTGTAAAGGAAAAAGTTGCTTCGAACGACCCGAGGAACCCGCCACTTTCGGATTGCGAGATATTTTTGGGACAGCCTGTATACTATATATAATATATAAATATTATTATTGTATTATATTATCTGGCGGCGAAGAAGCAACATCGTCGCGGCGGATTTCGAAAAAACGAAATCGCGAATCTTGTAAATCGGTAATCCAGCTTTCGGAAACGTTCGGCGTGAAAATACGAAAAATTAGCCGTGCGTAATAAGACAGGCTCTCGGCGTTCCTTTGGAACACAGAGCTCTCCTTGAACGCAAAATCGGCCCGAGGAGGGCCGGAGTCCCTTTCACCGAGCCGTTCGCAACGGCCGACTAGTATTCCTTATTCGATTCCCCGTGATTTTCTTTGCATCGCTGCTGCAACCTTGTTATATTCAGAGCAATCCTACGCTCGCACGAGCGCTGTTCCCAACGATTCGATCATTCGTTCGGGATTTAAATCGCGATTCCAGCCGAAGAGGAGATTATTCGAGCCCTAATTATTCTGAGCCCTAATTGTTCTTAGCCCTAATTATTCTTAGCCCGAATTATTTTGAGCCTTAATTGTTCTTAGCCCTAATTATTCTTAGCCCGAATTATTTTGAGCCTTAATTGTTCTTAGCTCTACATATTCTGAGCCCTAATTATTCTGCGCCCTAATTGTTCTATGCTCTAATTATTCTGAGTCTAATTGTTCTTAACCCTAATTATTCCTAGCCCTAATTATTTTGAGTCATAATTATTCTAAGCCCTAATTATTCTGAGCCTTAATTATCCTGAGTCTTACTTATTCTGAGCCCTGATTATTCTATGCTCTAATTATTCTTAGTCCTAATTATTCTTAGCCCTACTTATTCCGAGTCCTAATTATTCTTAGCCCTACTTATTCTGAGCCCTAATCTCTCTCTCTCATTCTGAGCCCTAATTATTATTGTCTCTGATTATTCTCCCTAATTCGCTCTCAGATTGTCCACAAAACTGGACAATTTGGGAAGAGGAGATACGTTTATTCGAGCCTCGTAGCAGCTCGTTTTTATAACTGTTGACAATTCGTAACTATAGAAACGATCCGCGAGGCTCGAATAATCGTATCTCCCCTTCTCAAATTGTCCATTTTCGATGACAATCCGAGCGTCAATTAGGGAGACATCACTGTATTTAGTTCGGAGACAAAGAAGACGCGTGAAAAATCTCTCGTTTTGCACAGTCGAATTTCGTCGAACAGTCGACGCTGGAAGCGCCGAGTTGCGCGTTTGTTCTGTTTAACAGTCGCCGGTTTCCAAGATACTTATCTTTTGCCCACGCGAAATATTACTTTCATTATGAAACCTTATACGAGGGATCGACCGCAGCACGGTGCCTGTTTCATAATGAAAATATTGGAATAGACAGGGACGAATGCCTCTTCCATCTATCCATCGAATCTGCTCCGGCACTTTCAATCCTTCGCGTCGGATTTTGCTGATCTTAAGAGCGAAGCTGTTCGAACAACGGGAATACGTAATGCTGAGCCTAAATCGCGCCGATCATTTCGATCGTTTTCCCATTTTCTGTTTCAACATCGACTGCAGCTGCAAAGACCTTTTTTTTATAAGGAATGATCGAATGTATTTCTCAATTCGAGCATGCGTTCGAATAAAAACGACGAAAATAAATATATTATAATTAAATAATAATGATAATATTATAAATAAATAATAATAAATAATAATAAATATATTATATTTAAATAATAAATAAATTCGATCTCATCGTTCTTATAAAACAACATTTGCCAGTATGTTTTAGCTTTCTGTCCCAAAATTGTGGTATTTCCGGGAAACGAGGGGTTCCTGAGGTCATTCGAAGCAACTTTTTTCTTTACAAAAATTTTATACGAGGCATCGTTCGCGAGTCATTAACCGGAGAACAGTAATCAATCAGAGGCGAGATCTGCTGGCGCGAGGCGGCGCTAAGCGGCCGAGCCAACGAGCGGAACTGGGCGGCCGCCTCGCGCCAGCCGAGCTCGCCTCCGATTGGTCACCGTTTTTCTTCGATAACTCGTGAACGAAGCGGCGGATCGCATTTTCGCTAAGGAGAAAGTTACTTCGAATGACCTGGGGAACCCATTCGTTTCTGAATTTCGAATAAATTTTGGCATACCCTGTACAATTACGCGCACCGCCGTGTAATGTAACGCACGCCACTCTATAATTCACATAGATCAGCGTCGAACGAAAAAAATGCCTTGGGTGCGATCGAACGTGACCGGAGGATTCTGTTTCTTTTCCAGGATGAGGGAGTACGTCGAAGAGAACGAGAAGACTGACCCGCTGCTACACGCGCCCGACAAGAAGAACAATCCCTGGGCCGAGAAAGGCAAATGCATAATTATGTAATCAGGACGAAGAGGAACGGGGAGCGTGGGAACGGAAGGGGGAAAGGACGGAGGAGGGAAGCGAGAACATCCGAGGAAGAAGGGGCGGATCGTTGAGCCGTGTTCGAAGACAACGGGGAAACAGGAAGAGAAGGAGAAGGAAGGAAGAAGCCGCGTGAAATAGAAGACAGAACGATGAGGAGGACGAGGACACCGTCGGGATCGGGGATACGGTATCGGAGGGGCCTCGCCGACGACGAGCACGAGCCGATCGACGACAGACAAGCGGCTCCTGGGATCGCAGGGGACCCGATCGAACGGGGACCGCTGCTCGAGACCGAGGGGGCTCGATGCTCGGCCGGCTGGGCCGAATCGTTCGGCAATCTGATCGTCCTGGTCATCAGAACTATCCTGTTGCGCGTGCAGACCGCGAACGAGCAGACTCTCGAGACTTTGCTGCGAGCCCTCAGACCGAGCTGAGACGCGAAATAATCACCGCGTTTGCGATATCAATCGGTTAAACTTTCGCGTCGCGCGTTTCCACCGCGTTCCTTCTCCCGCTCCCGAGAGAGAGAGAGAGAGAGAGAGAGAGAGAGAGAGAGAGAGAAGAGATAGAGAGAAAGAGAGAGTCGGTGATCCTTTTGTCGCAGCGTGTCTCCGAGATCTCTCAGCCGGGAACAAGAAAAATCGGCGGCGTGCTGGAAAAATCGCGCCGTGATCGGAACGCCGCCGATCGAGACTATTATTATATACACTAACGAATATCTTCTACAGAGACACACAGGCCGACGCGTTCCCGTAAAAAAAAAACACGAAACCGCGAAACGGACGGCGACAATCATGCTCCGGTCGTAGCTCCGCCTCGTCGTTGTTCCGACATTGTTGAGATAAACCGATGTTACGCGTCGAACGCCGCGTTGCGATTTCTTATCCGCTATTTATGGAAATCTCTTTGAATCGTTCATTACGTCGTAAACAATAATTTTATCTTAAGTAATCTAACGTCACTATGTGTACACGCATACACGCGTCCACGGACACACGTACACATGTATACACGCTCGGACTGACACACACGCAACACACCACACTTACCCATGCCGATACACACACACACACGTACACATACTTTACTTCATACGAACGGACGATTAATACGCTGTGCATATTTATGCGAATTTCTTACGGAAATATAATATATTCATATCATTTCAACACGTATTTGGGAGTTTCATTTTTACACCTGTGCAATCTGTAGACACGGATCTATCGCGTACTCTCGTTGGAAGCGCATTTCACTGTCAGAAATTCACGGCGGAATATCGTTGATCGAGAAACTCCGGCATTGCGAGCAACAATTGTATTCCTATTGTACAATTGTATTCCTATTATACAATTGTATTCCTATTATACAATTGTATTCCTATTATACAATTGTATTCATATTATACAATTGCATTCCTATTATACAATTGTATTCCTATTCCTATTCGGATTACCGAACAATTGTATTCCTATTCTTATTCGGATCGCCGAACAATTGTATTCCTATTCCTATTCGGCTCGCCGACCAATTGTATTCCTTGCGTCGCTGTTCATCGATTTCACGTCGTTTTCAATATCAAACGATCCGGAATTACGATTAGAACGCGATCGTGAACATCGACGCTTCGAAAGTATTATTTTCCAACGAAACAATTACAGTGAATCCCCTGGAATCGTCGGTGAACTTGTACACCGCGAAGAAAATGATACGTCAAGGGGTTAATTCGACAAATTCTGTTTAACGTCGAGTCGATGGAATCCCGAGGTCCGGTTTAAGTTACGGGTTTTCAGTGGGAGCACGAGACACGCTCGAACGTGGCTCATTGGGATCACGCTCTTATTTCCGATGATCATCGATGCCTCCGCGCCGACGTTTCGAGCCGCTGCGAATCGCACGCGAAGGTAGGGGAACGCATTGTACCGAACGGCCATTGTCATGGCTCCGTGACATCTCGCCCACGACATTCTGTAGCGAGCCCCGTGGACCCGCTGTCCGACCACTTGCCAACTATTTCTACTCTCTGTTACAGCGTGAATTCTTGACGCGTTCGCCGAACGAAAAAAAAATATGCGTTCTCTCACGTATACACAACAGAGGGGGACGAGATTTTTCTCCGAGAAGCACGCTGGCGTTTCACCAACGTATCACGATAACACGCCCTTCGCTTCGATCCGATCTACGCTGCGACCACCGCTGCAGCTATTTGTTTCACGGCAACGGCGAATTTCGTGCTGTTGTCCAGAGCCGATATTACATTTTTATTGCAATTATTTCTGGTCGACGAAACTTAAGTAAGTTGTTCCACTGAAAATGAAATTTTTCTCTTATTGATTGTGCTTAGGATCGTTTATAAATTTATTTCTCAATAGTTTTTCTACGTATTTTTCATGGTATTGTTTATAGAAGCGATAATTTATCTACGACAGAGTTAATGAATTTTTATATTAATTATTTCTAGTCTACGCAACTTAAATAAGTCATCGAATTAAAACAAATATTTTTATTTTATAATAATAATAACATATATATAATAATAATAATTTTATAATCGTTCACAATTTTATTTCTACATATTTTTCATGATATTCTACTACTACTAATAATACTAATAAAATAATATTTATTCTCCGGGACAAAATGGACTCGAACAGCGTCGCTCGAGCGTTAAATCGTTAAAGATTAAAGAGCTCTCCGATGTTCTGCCTCGTTTTTTTAATAAATCGATAAAAATTAAAAATCATGAAAATTTATGTAAAATGTTGCGTCTACGAGAATCGAGGGAACACGTAGATTTTACGTGCGCTAGTTCAAGTTGCGCAGAGCGTTACCGTCGGATATTATAACGCGTCGACTGCTCGGTATCTTCGGTGTTAAAAAAATTGCTTTCACTTTTTAATACTCGCAAGAAGATCCGAGCAGCGGACCGCCGACTTTCGAGTAATTACCAATTATCGAGGATGGGCACAGCTTGGTCACGGTTATTTTATTCCGACGGCCGCGCCGTCTACGAAACGTTCGACGATTTTGCTAATTAATTGCTCCATTCTTCCTGGAACATCGATAATTAGACGCGACGCGGATTTTGCGTTTAGCTACCGGGTTCTCTTCGCGTTCGAATTCCGGGCGAGCTGATCATTTTCGTAATTCAATTCGATTCAATTTAACCCTTCATGGGCAAGATATGAATTTTCAAAGAAATTGGAATATTTGCTTACCGTAATTTTATCATATAGTAATACAGTTGTTATTCGCTTTGCTGTTATTTCTAATTTTTCACCCCTCAAAATTAGGGGTGGTGGGTCCTATATACAGGGTGTCCCAAAAATGTCTCGCAATCCAGAAATGGCGGTTCCCGAGGTCATTCGAAGTAACTTTTTCCTCAGCGAAAATGCAATATGCGGGGGTGGAAAGCTCCCAGTGCCTTCAAAAGGGTTAAAATAACATGTTACATAAGGAAATCAACTGTAAAACATAAAAGGCGAGGTTAAATTGAACGTGTAGCGTGAAAAATATTTTTCGTTGTTGGTGCAAAAATGGAATCACCTAAATTCCGAATCGACGAGAAATTAATATAATAAATTTTTAGTTTTCGTGTTCACACAGAAAATGAACGAATTCAACTATCTTTTATAGTTTATTTTGTCTTACAACGAATCGCCGAGAGAGACGAGAAAATTCTAACGAGTGGAATCGCGAGATAAACCGTGAGCTAAGGGGTGAACGATTCGAAATATTCGAGTCAATGGCACAAGGTGGACGTACTTTATAGGTCGACCTCGTCGTAATCGTCGATCTGGAAAGATGCTGTTTAGAAATGTATAAAAAAAACTGCAGAAACGATGAAAAGTGGAACGCGACCGTAGATCATAAATGCGCGACCTACTCTGCCGCAGAAATCTTTTCGAACGGCACCGAAAGAATGCATTTTTGAATCACGACCGAGCGCTGACATCGGACGTCCGCTCCGAATGTCTCCCTTACTGACGCTCGGATTGTCCACAAAAATGGACAATTTGGGAAGAGGAGATACGATTATTCGAGCCTTATTTTTATAGTTATAAATTGTCCACAATTATAAAAACGAGCCGCGAGGCTCGAATAATCGTATCTCCTCTTCCCAAATTGTCCATTTTTCTGGTCAATCTGTAATTCCTCTGTATCGGCAGCGAATTATCGTTGATTTTCGACTTCGTCGAAAGCATCGGCGTTCCCCGAGCGATCGGCGTGTTAATGCTTTAATCGTTTCAGCCCAGCGTTCGATTGCGACGCGATAAAGCGGCGGGCTGCACGAAGAATTTTCGAAGGAATTCACACCGATAGCCGCGGTGGCAAAGGCTTTACGATGTGGAATTCTACGACGTGGAAAATGTTCCTGCTACAGACGACGTGCTCCACTTTCATTGCCATTCTCTCGGCCGTACATTAAACGCGTGTCCGCCATTGCGGCGTAAGTATACTCTACTTATCGTTAGTCATTTCACCGATTGAAGAACGCCGCTAAATTCGCGTGAATGGGCTCCGCAACTTCTGCATACGTATCTTTCCTCGCGAGGATCGTTCGCGACTGTTTAGAGTTCAAGTTGAAATTGCTGCTGGAATCGTTACGAGCGATTCTCCATTAGCGCGTTAAATCTTCAGCTGTTCAATTATTATCTTGTCTAGTCGCTGTACCTAGGCGTGTCGTTTTCTATCTAGAGATCTTAGCAGACCGTACGAAAGTGTATTGCAATATCTGCAACAGTTTTGCTTTTAAAAATGTAAATATATGTATTATATATTTACATTTTTAATATATATATATTTTAATATATACGCTACAACGCGTGCATTAGCTTCAATTCAGAAAGCTTCGAAAACCAGATAACAAGATATTCATGGACACACGCAGACTTTCCAATCTACTGAAACAATAATTGTTATTTTCACTCGTTACAGTATGCGACAGCGTTCAATTGAAATCTGTATCTGCGTTACATTGCATCCGGCCAGCATTGAAACGATGAATGCGTTTCGCGACCTTCGACGATCGTTCGAATAATTGATCCATATTAACGATCCATATGAACGCTGTTCCCTCCGCACTCGTGAGAACATTTTCACGGCGAGCAACTGTTACGAATAAATTTCGGATCGGCTTTCCATGCTCTTTTTTTTTATCGCGTGACTTTAACGACGCCGCGTCGCGTCTGCGGCGATTAACCCTTTGCACTCGAACGGCGACTGCGAGGCGCCGCTCTAATTATTACATCGTGTTCCAAAATGATATTTATATCATCAAAGCTTAGATACAAAAAGATCGTTAAAAGTCTAATTGTTGTACGAGTCGCAAGACTATAAATTTCATACGCATGAATAAAAAATACTATAAGTCAGAAAAGTTAATTTAGATTTACAATTAAAATAGCTTCGAGTGCAAAGAGTTGACACGTTGGGCGCTCCGTCGGTCGCACATGGGTGACATTAATTTTTGAACAAAATTTTGAAAATTCATTTTCCGTTGCAATATACAGGGTGTCCCAAAAATGTCCCCGGATCATTTGAAGCAACTTCTTCCTTCAAAAAAATGTTCTTCGAGGTACCGTTAACGAGTTATCAACGAAAAACAGTGACCAATAAGAATCGAGTACGGCTGACGAGAGGCGGCCCAGCCAACCAGCGCGCAAGGCCCAGTTCCGCTCATTGGCTTGGTCGCCTCGTGTCAGCCGAGCTCGCCTCCCATTGGTCACTGTTTTTCGTTGATAACTCGTTAACGGTGCCTCGGAGAACATTTTTGTAAAGGAAAAAGTTGCTTCGAATGACCAGAGGAACCCGCCGCTTTCGGATTGCGAGACATTTTTGGGACACCCTGTATTCGAGCAAACTAAATTTGTTTTTTAAAACAGTTCCAATGACATTCGCCACGATAAATTATAACTTTCTAGTTTCGCTTTAACTTAATTGAATTGCATTTGACTTTCTGGGAATTTTAACGGCCGATTGTCGGCGCTGAACGCTCGCAAATGAATACGAAAGGCTTCGCGCCTCTCGTTCCAGCAGAAAACCGTGTTCACCGTGTTCAAACGCGCGCGCATGACGTAGGTTGGGAAACGCTGTTCTAGCCGGCCGATGTAGATCGCTGGATCGCTGGATCGCTAGATCGTCGTTTCACTCTCGCGTTGCTGTTTACCGGCGCAGCCCCGATCGGTGCTCCGTTGTCGGCTTCGTAACGATACCCCGACATAACCTCGGGCAGGCTGTCGGCAACGAACGATCGGCGATCTCGGATTTTTCACGTAACCGGCTACGAACGGAATCCGGTCGTTGTCAGAGAAACTCAAAAATCCGCGTTCGTCGCCGATGAGTACCAACGAGAGTAGATTTACGAGCGACGGTGTCCTCAAACCTGAAGAAAAAGAAAAAAAAGAGAACGATACTTCTCCCGTGACACGGTGATCGATGAAACGATCGCTTATTTCTTCGAATAGATTTCGCGTTCGAGTCAAATGTAAATACTTGTTCTTTCCTTTCGATCTTGCGTTTATCGATGGCCACGCATTTATTGCGCGACAATTTATTGCGCATTCGCAATAAATATATATATTATATATCGTTCTTGTATTCGTATCCTTGTTGTTCGACTGCTAATTGTTGTCGGCGATTTCACAATATTTCCCGAATTATTCGATAGCTTATTTATGCGAGGGATCTTAAGGCTTCTAAGGTAAGGTTAGGATAGGCTGATTCGAAAGGCACTTATATTTTGGTAATTAATGATTAATTATTCGTTTAATTAACTATTCGTTTTAGCGTTATTTTTTAGATAAAGTAATCGTACTTTAACAAAAAATCGACTTACACTGTCACTGTCATCTATCCTTGGATATTATTTACTGACGCGTAATTTAGCGTACAGTTCTTTTTTACTATGTGTGTACATCACCGCGGTGCTTCACCGAACTACGCACCTTAACCTCATTCGGTGCAGTTTTGGACGAGCCGCTGCGAACGCGCTTAATTGCGAGTGTCTATAACCTAATTTTTATAAAATGTCACAGTGAGAATATTTTGATCCTAGGAGTTACTATATTATATATATTTTATGTTATTATCCATTATACTATATATACTATATTACTATATTATATATATTTTTTCTTTGTCACAGTTCGCCTTTATTAAGAAACCATGATAACACCAATACCTGCCTTAAGATCGCAGAAAATTATTCGCTCGACTTTTTCGTGTCGCTGATATTTTCGTGTACAAACAGTTTATACACGACTTATACGTCCACACTTGGTAATTGATTTTTATTTTGCTGCTTCAACATTTTCGCATATTAATTGCTACCGACCACCTCGCATTTCTTGTTTCGTATCACGTAATGTATATATACATATATATGTATATGCGTACGTAGATGCGGTATACATATGTGTACTACACAAATGTGTATATATATATAATTCGCAAAAGTGCACGGGCTGATAAACTCGAGCTAGAAAGTGCACGGATAAGTTTACGTTCGGCTTACGGTATATAAATTGAACGTGAAATCTTGTACAGTTCAAGTTGAAAGTTACTTTAGTATAATTAGAAGTTGTTCGGCAAGATTCTTCCGTCTTTGACAACGGTTCTCCTCCGGATTCCGTTTCATTCTTTCGCGCGCATTGCAAAACTATTCGACCGTGTTCTGACGTTAAGTCACTTTTCTTTTTTTTAATTCAGGCGCAGAAGCAACCGACGGATATTTTGCACTTTGGACGGCATTGGATGCGACTCTGTTTTTGTTGATGGTCAACGAGATGCATGGTCGCGCGCGAGTGCGAGCACGTGGATGCGTTTGTTTTGATCTCGGGTCCTTCTCGGTCGAAGAGACGAATGCGACGCAGTTCAATTGTTCGTAACCGTCGAGTGGTATTTTATGCAGTTATGACAAAAGCGAGTAGTTCAAATGCAAAATAGCGCGAACGTTTGAGCGACGATATTATCGCATTGCCGTCGTCTCGTTAACATTAGAAATTAAATAGAAGATCTGTGCAGTTTCTGCATCGTGCAATTTAACGGTGGCAATTTTTATTCGGCATAAAAATCCGCGGTCCAACGATTAACCGCGAATAAAGCGGTGTGCGATAAATGTTTCCTCTGAAAAATCTTATGGAAATCAACAATAATCTCCGTTTAATCATTCTTAATGTAGTATCGTTGCTGAACATTTCTGCGCTATCACATAGAACATGTCCGTGCGATTTTATTTATCTATAAACATTATAATATCGAGAGTTTGGAGAATAATTCGACGCGAGGGTCGTTCGCGTACCGCTTTCACGATTAAAACCGAGCGAATTCTTAAAGTGAAAAATTTGACTTTCTGATTTCAGTCGTCTTATGGAACATGCATGAGGAAAGAAACCATCCAACAAAATCGTCCGGCGAGTCTAAGAAGGTCGTTGCCGCAGAGGAAGCCACGATATCTTCGAGAGTCGACGGTTAAATTCAATCGCGAGCAAGATTTCTTCAACGATCTCGGCGAACGACGACGGCGTATTACGGCGTATAGCGTCGCGCGACGCTATTTCTCGAAATGGCAAAATTTCGAAAAAGCGTATTCCAGTTGCGATTCGGCAGACCGCCGTCGTCTAACAAAAAGTTCAAGACGTTCTAAAAAAAAAAGATTGTCGCATTTTGAAAATCGTCCGAACGTTAATTGACGCTAATAATAATCGACGCTCAGATTTTATGAATTTATGACAAAAAGCGAGTAGTTCAAATGCAAAATAGCGCGAACATTTGAGCGTTAGAAATTAAATAAAGATCTATGCAGTGCCCGCATCATGCAAACGAACGATAACAATATTTATTCAGCATAAAAATCCGCGGTCCAACGATTAACCGTGAATAAAGCGGCATCCGATAGATGCAGATCTACAGATTGTCCACAAAAATAGACAAATTTGAGAAGAGGAGATACGATTGTTCGAGCCTCGCGGTTTATTTTTATAGTTATAAATTGTCCACAATTATAAAAACGAGCCGCTCGTTTAATCGAGCGCTTATTTAAGGCGATTAAGGCTCGAACAATCGTCGCTCCTCTTCGCAAATTGTCCATTTTTGTGGACAATCCGAGCGTCAATTGAGCCGTTTATTTTGAAAGAGATGTGTATAAGAGACAGCGTATCTCCTCTTCCCAAATTGTCCATTTTTGTGGACAATCCGAGCGTCAATTGAGCCGTTTATTTTGAAAGTCACTTTAACGTAATGAAAAGTGGTGATTTTTTAATATATATATACGAAATTATTTATACTGAGAAAAATATCAGTATCCTGAGATAACAAATACAAGTGAATCTTCTCGAAAGTTAGCATCCATATTTTGAAACGTGTTAAAACGCAAACCTTTAAATATATCGACTTAAAAACAAAGTGACTTATACCACTTTCAAAATAAACGGCTCAATTTCTCTAATTAGAGAGACACTACTGTAATTCCGGAACGATCGGTTTCAGCGTCATGGAAGTTTCGGCGAGTTCGATGGTTGCCTATCGTCGTCGAAAAAAGCCGGCGTGAACGAGGAAAAGGGACAGGACGGCCGGTGAATGAGGCTACCGAAAGACGAAATATGGAAGGAAGGGAGAGAGATCTGTCAAGAGGGAGAGTATAAGCTATAAGAGTGAGCTAGCGAGCACGAGAGAGGGGCCGAAAGAGAATGACAGCGGGCTCTCGTTCACTATGGTCAGTGCTTTTCGAACTGTTGCCAGTGACAGTACTTCGACCATGTGGCGGTTGGTTCCTGGATCATTGATTCGCATTTAGAGAACGTTGCCTCGCACACAGCTATTCTCGCCGACGCGTACACACGCACACACACGAACACACGCGCGCACACGCGTAACACACACGAGACTATATAATAATATACACGGAATTCGAGCGGATATTTTTCGGTTCTCTCGGTTCGACCTCTGAAGTTCTTTTCCTCGTATCTTGGTGCTACTGTTCCACTTCAGGAGTGTTACGCTCGCTGGAAAAACTGGAGGAATCATGGTAAGTAGCGGTTCTTTCTCGCAATTAGTCGGCGAGGACGCGCGCGGTTGCGCGCCTTCGGCCGTCTGACCTTAATTACCAGCTGCGACGACATCGTCGACGACGACAATAAGAGGACGCTTTTCAATAAGATCTCAGCCGCGCGACCGTTGCGTTGCCTCACGGGCCCACCGCGACCGGTAAATCGTCAAAGGGGCCGCCAATGCGCGGCGCGGCGCGGCGCGGCGCGGCGACGAGCAGCCTTCCGCCGGTTCACCGTTATCTCGGGACTGATCGTCGACGAGAAAAGTGAAATTCCCTCGGCACCGAGTTCCCGACAAATTCCACCGGAGCTTTTCCCTGCGAGCGAAAAAATTCGAGCTGGTTTCGTCCCTCGGGACTCGAGACGGCGCGCGGCGCGGCGCGGCTGCCGACTCCGTTTTCAAACTCGTTTCTCGATTTTTTTCGTTTTCGTTCGAACGATATTACATCATGCGTAGATTCATGTAAGACCGCCGGGGAACCGGTCTGAAAAGAGATCGATTTGGAAAGGATTAAAACGAACGCGACCGCGCCGCGCCGCGGCGGGGCTGCGCCACCCTTTTCTTCGCTCAGCTCGCCGGTACGAACCGCGAGACAATAGCTGTGATTTTCTGCTCGGGCATGCTCGCTCGGAACGTCTTTGTTGTCGACGGTGATCGTCGATCGGGGACCGAGCAAATGGACAATTCTAGAGAGGCTCGAAGCGAGTCGGAATTCTATTTTCGAAATCGGAGGAGGCTTTCTTCTTTGGCGAAGGTTAGACGGTACGGTAAATTCTCCACAATTTTTCCATCAGCTCGCGAACAGGTTTATAACAACTGCGTAAAATCTGCGGCACGCTATTTCATTTTTACAGATTCGGTAAATTTTTCGCGATTTTTCTTCAGATTGTAAACACAAATGAAGAATTTGGGAAGAGCAGATGCGATTGTTATAGTTGCCGATTGTCAACGATTATATTGTATAATAATAGACTGTATAATAATTATATTGTAATGGACGATTAATAATAATTGTCCATTTTGGTTTGCAAGCCGAAGGAAAATTGGGGAGAATTTACTGTATTTGTCGATTTATAGAAAAGCGAACGAGGGAATTGCGGCATTTAATTATACTTTACGCCTCTTTCGATGAAAAACTCCGTAATCGTAGTAAAGTCGGAAGAACGCTGTTATTCTCAAAATCAAAATCTACGCTAACCCTTCGAATATTTTGAGCGTACGGTCGCGCGAAACGTTAAACAAAGCGCTAAAATTTCCGAGCATCGTTGATATTTACGCCGCGATTTCGTGGTAAAAGCATCGCATTATCGTCGATCGAAGATCCTGGTTGCAAAATACGTGGTTTTTCACCGAATATCAACATCCTAAAACGACGCGTTCGACGCGCGGAGAGTCGTTCCGATAGAATCGGCATTCGAGACTCGAAGACGTTTCGACGAAATCGGCGTTCGAGACCGAAGAAATATTTCTAGTCTCGTCTACGTTTCTTTCGTAGTTCTTTCGCGGGTGTTCAACCTTGTAATGACGCGCGATAAAAATCAGGCATCGCGTCTCTTTAAATCGAGGCTTCTTTCACCGGTGTTCTTCCAGCAACGTCGATCGTCAGCCTCTCGATTGTATCATGGCGGCCGATATGTTGCCGCACGTGTGTTCGTGGCTGCGAGCAAAAAATAAAAAACAACTTGTCTTTCTCTTTCAACACAGTTTCGAAAAGCACGAGAGTTTGTACATCGATCGAACGTTAGTTGGCAACGCGAGTTTGGTTTTCTTTTTAATTTTCTTTTTGTCATTCTCGGTAATGACGAGATTAAAAAAAGAGCGTCTTAGTCATTGCACGATAAATAAGGTTTCTCAACGTTTCGAGAACAAATTCGAGCGATTTAGTTTCATTTGAGGAAAAGGTGCACCGTTTTAAACTTTTCGATGCCGCAGAATACAGTAATGTCTCCCTTACTGACGCTCGGATTGTCCACTAAAATGGACAATTTGGGAAGAGGAGATACGATTATTCGAGCCTTGCGGTTCGTTTTTATAGCTACGAATTGTTAACAATTATAAGAACGAGCTGTAGGGCTCGAATAATCGTATCTCCTCTTCCCAAATTGTCCATCTTTGTGGTCAATCTGGGCGTCAATTCTCTAATTGAGACATTAGAGACATTATTGTATTATATATATATATAATTATATATATTATTGTATTATATTTGCGATACGTCTGTCCTAATAATAAAATATATTAAAGATTACAATTAAACCGCGGGTTTTTATGCAACGCAAAACTTGTCCATATTAATTGCAAGACAGCTGCACAGGTATTTCTCTTCTGAACGATTTTAACGAATCGAGAACAATGCAACGTCAGCTTGAGATCCTTTAAATGGTTTCTCCGTTTCGCATTCGCTCTACTTATTTCTCTCATAAGCACAGTAAAATCCGCGGTCTAATTAGATTACAACGGTTTATAACAGATGAACAATGGACGTATCGCAAATATACTGCCTGGCGGCAGTGAAACGTTTGAAGGGTGTCCGAATACTTTTTTACACCCGCTGTACAATTCTATCGCGATCGACAAAGATAATTTCGCACGAGGATTCGCAGTCTTGTAATAATAATAATCGTTTATTCTAAGATCAGCTCCAAGGTTTCGTTTCCACAGATTTGCCTAGACACTCGCGACACTCGCGACTCCGCGACGCTCGCGTTTCTACGACAGCGCGGTACGCGATAAGCGCGATATTAATTATGCTCGCATAGGATTAACAAAAGTACGAAATCGGTGTACGAGATCGACAAAATTTCACGATATCTGGACGCGTGTATCGTAAATCGAGCGGGGACGGCGACAGTTTCCTGCCCACGCGTTCCCAGGGACCTTCGCTGTAACAAGTACCAAGAACTCGTTTTGTCCTTCCGGGTTACCCAAGCCCTCTCACTTTCGTCGTGCGACGAACTCGCCGATCGAATTCTCCTTTCTTGATAATCGAACGAATTCGGAACGGAGTCGGAATGGAAAACGCCGCGGAATGGAAACCGCGCGTCGAGGAACGCGCGCGCGCGCGATTTCGATATCGGCTCTGCCCCGCGCGAAAATTCATAAACTCGCGTCGGATTTCGCGTCAAGAAACAAAGCTCGCGATAAGCAGATAATAATAAAGACATTAAATATAGATTAATATAATACAGGGTGTCCCAAAAATGTCTCGCAATCCGGAAATGGCGGGTTCCTCGGATCATTCGAAGCAGCTTCTTTCTTTACAAAAATGTTCTCCGAGGCACCGTTAACGAGTTATCAACGAAAAACAGTGACCAATAAGAATCGAGTACGGCTGACGCGAGGCGGCCCAGCCAACCAGCGCGCGACGCCCGGTTCCGCTCGTTGGCTCGATCGCCTCGCGCCAGCCGAGCTCGCCTCTCATTGGTCACTGTTTTTCGTTGATAACTCGTTAACGGTGCCTCGGAGAA